CACCATTGGTGAAACAGCACTCAAATCAGTCCAACAGTTTAATTATCTGGGAAGCATCATCTCCTCAGACGGTAAGATTGATGCTGAAATTGACAACAGGTTAGCAAAGGCATACAGTGCCTTTGGTAAACTCCGTAAAAGAGTGTGGCAAAACAAACACCTGAAGAAAAGTACTAAGATCAGTGTTTATAGAGCCATTGTACTGTCTACTCTGCTTGAAAGTAACCCTTCCTAAAACATCATCTTTTTCCAGATTTGTATTATGGTGGAGAAGCTTTCTCTGTAGAGCAGCCACAGTCCTTTACTTGTCCTTATTGTGGGAAGATGGGTTATACAGAAACATCTCTTCAAGAACATGTTGCTTCTGAACACGCAGAAACATCAACAGAGGTGGTAAGCCGCTTCAGCATTGTTTTTCAATTGCAGTGAAAGTATATGAAAATTTCCAGGAAATTAGTATCTTTTTTTCCTTGAAGTCTGTGTTAATTTAAATGCTGACTAGGAAGATATGCACCATACATACATACACACTATGCTGGTGTTTTCCCTGTTGACTCCTTGAGCTACTAACAGTCTGAGTCAAGGTTATACAGCTGAGTCCTTGGATCCTTGGTGTGCAGGCCACTAAATCCTGGTGTTACAGAGAGGGTTAAATCCTTGTAAAAATAAATAATCTTTAAATATATTGATTTTTTTTTTTAAATAAAGTGGCTCTTGCTGTTTCCCTTTACCATTTGATTTTTCTGATGATTTCAACAGTGGCAATTGGTGAAGAGCAATTACATACCATATAATAGCCTACTGCAACAATTGTTTTGCTTCTGCTTTTGTCAGTGTTCTCCTCTTTACCTCTAGATGCTACTGTTGCTTGTGGCAGAAGGTCTGAAATTTTTCTGAAATGTGAGTGAATTCTTTGCTACGGAAACAATATAATAATAAATAACTTGGATTTTGATATTATTAGAAATAGTTTTTTCTCAACCCTCATTACAGTGTTGAGAAACTACATCCTTGCATTTCTTAGTGTTCAGACAATTTTCTTTTTAGAAAAGTCTGTACCCTGTTTTTAGATTTCTCTTTATGGTGCAGGTATGTTTTGTATTTCTTTCTAAAGCCCACTTCACTAATTCAACAGTTACATATGTTAGCAATCCTAGGTTAAATTCTTGACTAAGAAGTTTGGGTGTCTTTCCAGCAGTGGGGAATATATTTATATTTGTGTGTCAATACTGTGCATGCCTGAGGAATGTATGATTACAGAAGGACATTCAAGGAAATGTTGTCTAGTTATTTTTGTTGTAGATTCCTATAAAAATGTGCATGCTTGAAGAAATTTTTTTTTTTTTTTTGGGAAATTATGTGGGAGAAGGACAATCTCTCTTCTTAGAGCCTGCTAAGGGCCTTATATCAAGGAGTAGCAGAGGAGGTAAAACTGGTCAACCTGTTCTGAGACTCAAAAGTGTCCTGTTTTTTTCCTAAAAACATATGAACTATCGGTGTATATTTCTTCATTTTTAGATTTGAAAGCACAGTAATTATTATTTCTAGGGAGCCCCCCGTGGTCTAGGGGAAAAGACACTGCACTGTCACTGCAGAGACCCGGGTTCGATTCCCGGTCGGGGCCCCTCCCCGGGCAGATGGAGCTCGTTAGCCCATAAGGCAATCCATCTACATCCTGAGGACCTCGCTGCCACCGTCCAAGCGTGCTTGGCCCCGGCAGATGAACCTCAGGATTAAAGGGTGGGCTCAGTTCCGCGCAC